TGTCGTTTCCTCCAAGAACCCAATGGAAAGAAAAGCAACCCATCACGGCCCAGGAAGCTCCTCCATAAGCCAGACCTTGACTCAGCCCAGGTCAGACACATCAATGGGACCCGGATGGAATTGAAATCGAATGGTATACTGAGGCATTGTTGGAATCAAAATCACGGGCTTTGACTGCGGGCTACTTTGATGGAATCAAATCGCGAGTGTAGCTGTCGGTTGCTTTGATGGCATTAAAATAGGAGATGAAAGAAAGGAGGAAACGGAGCAGTTGGTGCGGTAGACGAAGCTTTTCTATGGAAGACGACAAAGGCATGCAGGTGGTGGGAGATAATGACTAAGAAAGAAGGGGATCGGGCGGACGACGATGTGCGGGGAAGGGGAGAGAGAGACCCGAGAGGTTTACTTTTTTTTTTTTTAATTATATTTCTTGGCTGGTAAAAATTTCTATGTCAATGTGCCATGTAGGCGCTTACTAGGTGTTGTCTAGTCTCCCAGTTAAATATAACGATAAAACTAACAGAAAAGATGATTTGGTATACAAATATCATATTGATAATTTTGTAATTTGGATGACAGGAATGAGCCTAGCTAGAAACTAGCGTGGTCCCCCAAAAAATCTCTAGGTGACTAGTTTGGGAAATAGTTTTTAAATGTTGTTATATTTTGGATTTATTTCTTTTTATGAATTATTTGGGTAAATAGGCCTTTGAAGTACAACCTCTTGATTCAGGATAGATTACACACTTTCATACCACTTGACTTGAGATGTTTGATGTGTTTGCACCGTCCTTGGAGCTAGTTTGCGCAAGGTTTGTTCGTTTTTGTCATGTTTCAAACCTTAGCAGGAAATAGTGGCACCAAAATCGAAAGTTGGACGGAAGATGGCGAAAATGGAGCAACACGGGTGAAAGTGCAGACATCACACTTGCAGAGCTATTATCAAGGATGGAAGACCGTGAAGTGGACAAGCAAACCATGAAGTCTGCAAACTTCCTGGAGGATTTGGATGACTCGTCGGCTTTGTCATGATCATGCTCTCCAAACCGTAATGTCAACAAGCAGCCCATGAAATTCATTAGTGAAACGACATGTTTTGCGCCGAGATAACGGTTTCACAGTCGACTTCACGGGCGTGGTATGAGACCGTGATATGTGCACTCGAGAGCTATATAAAACGAGAGTGAACTGAATTTGAAAAGATAGTTCTAGAGAGAGATTGGAGGCTTCTTCTTCAAAGCTTATAGAGAGAGACCTACGATCTAAGAAGGGAGGAAGGGGAATTTCACTTGCCCAAGAGTAGAGGAAGAGGGAGAATGTTGTATTTTCTCTTCTAGTTATGGAGTAGTCTCTTATTTTTATTTGGATGTTGTGAACCCTAGTCTAGGATGTTGTAGATTGTAGGATTTGAACTCTATGTGTGTTGGGTTTGTGATTTATATAATGATTGAGGTATTATTTATGAAAATTGGGTGTTCTTGATCAAATCCCTTAATTTAAGGATAAATTGACCAAGAAGGAGGAAATCCCCTTATAGCCCATTCTTGGCAATTCGGGTAACCTTCTATAAGTCGATTCAGGTCATCGCTCGATCATCAAAGAAGTGCCATGATTCATTTTGATTGGTTACTTTTCTTCGCTCCAGATTAACTTATGAGGGATCAGTTATGCAAGCCTTAGTCAATCTATTAAGTGGGCTAGGAAGCAATCATACTAGCTAATTTTCAATCTGCTAATTAATGGTATATGAACCTACCTACCATACTAGAGTTTCATCTTTGCATCTTAACATGAGATTAGAGGAAGCAATGTCCGAGCGATACTTTCTCTTTTGAATTCACTAAAGTTAATTGCTTGCTTGTTTAGCTTACTTAGTTTTAATCAAAATTGGATTACTAGATAACGTGTAAACGGCCTAAACAAGGATAGATAGTTCGCATCTCATTCTGCTGCTTGGAAATTGGAATGAAACTGAGGACTAAGGAGCATAGCTTTATTTTCTATTTCTAATTTGACAATTTACATTTGTTTTTAGTCAGTTTGCACATTAACAATATGTTGAGGATATTAATTATTTAGTAAAAAATAATTAATTCCTTGTCCTCCAAGTCCCTTGTTTCCTTGTCCTTGTCAAAGAAGGAAACTTGGTTGTCATTAGGGTTTTAACCCTACGTCTATCTCTATATAAGCTTAGCTACGAGATTGTCGTAAGCAAGCCGTCACAATGTAGTCCCATAATAAATTCGTCAGCCGTGAGCTCGTTCTGAGCTCACCGTGGATTAGTCTCGATCAATCATCGATCGAGGATACCACGTAAAATCCTGTGTCTCCTGTTATTTCATCTTCCGCATCATCAAATTCTTCATGGTATCAGAGCGAAACTCGATCCTTTTCTAGGGTTTTGAGCTTCCGCAGTCATTCTTCGTTGCCTCTCCGGCAATATGGACGTCAATCAGTCAGCAGTTAGCATCTGTTGCCCCGACCTCTCCTCCATCCTTCAATTTTCCCGACAGTAAGGGAGAATAAGTAGCATCGCCAGCAGTCAACATACATTGCCTCTCCGTGGCAGCATCGACCTCACCAATTTGAGGAAGGCCAAGCTCGATTGGGTGTGAGTGTGTGACTCTCGTTTAACTTGTGAAAAACAAGAGGCAGGTTTTGTCAAGAAGGCACTGCCCGGAGATTTTCTACGGTCGTTGGATTTCAATCAACCTATCAATAACTGGTTACATTGTGCCGAATCCGATCAAGAGGCAGGTTTCGTCAATAAGTATGAGGTTTGACGTCAAAAGTTTGATGCCTCTTCCGTTCATCAGTCTGGCCGTACGTGAGAGACCGCAGCAGCCGATCAGGAGTCACAAAAATAGTCGCCCCGCTGCTGGTTTTCCTGTCTTGCAGATCGTCACCAGGTCAGACAAAGAAGAAACCTCTCTGTTCATAGGGAAAGGTGTTTCCGTCGCTGTCGAGGCGTTGTCCGCCACAAAATCTTGTTCGTTGCAAAGGAGCCAACGTCATCATGCCTCAAATCCGGCTCTGAGTCCATCGTTAACACAATAAGCTAAATTCTGGTGTTGTGCTTGTCTCAGTCTCAGTCCATGAACACCTTCCTCAATCTCAAGGTAAGGTTCCCTTCCCGGCGGAGACGTTGTCGTTTATCCTTCAATCAAGAAGCAAGTTCGCATCATTGACATTCGCGGTCTTGACTTTCCGACGTCGAATCTGGAGTCAAGCATCGCCAGCAGCTCCTGAATCCCTGACCAGCTAAGTCTCATCAGTCATCACCGCTCGGAGCTTCTTTTTTGACGTCGCCTTGCATAGCCGCCTTCTTCAGTCTGTCATCGTCCTACCATCTCTAGCGCGTATGGTCGTGTCTTGTCAATGATTCAGGGTATATTCATAAAGGGGTTTAATTAATCATTCCACATTGTTAATGGATTCCCTACTTTAAGGACCGCATTCCACTAATGGATCACTGTTTGACGTAGCCATGTCTGCCATCCAAAGCTAGTCTACAATAAAGCTTTCCGGGCCATGCTTGGTTGCTCTATTTCCAACCGACCGCCATTACTCTGTCCAGTCAACAATATATTCGATTGGAGATTTCGTCATTCAACAACCCTCCTAATGCTTGTTGGGTCGTGAACATCAATTTGTCGAGAAATTCTTGTCATAGTTGCAGCCGCTGGCCGTCTTCATCAAGCACTCACGCGCTGCCCTTTTTTGAACGTATGATCCTTCTTAAGATGCGAGGCAGTCACGATCTATGAAGGGATCATCTCCTCGGTGTTCAGAATAAGGTAATTTTCAGTCTTCACTATTTTAACTTTCAAACTGGAAATTCACGTCGTTCATGCTCTACCTTGAGGGGGAGAATTGGGCATCATCATACGCGGTCAATCAATTCAGCATATCGACCATGGTGTATAAGTCAAGGAGGTTCTCCATTCATGTTCAAGAGAGACGATAGTCAGAAGTCTCTCAATCTATCTCATTCAAGGGAGGCGTAGTCAGCAACCTCTCGGTCAATCTCATCCAGGTAGAGGCGCAGTAAACCGCCTCCACCATAGCGTTCGGATAGACGCAGTTAATCGTCTCCGTCAAGTCATTCAAGAGACGCAATCAACTGACTCCATCAGGTCGTTCAAGAGGCGCAGTCAACCGTCTCCGTCACGACGTTCAAGAAGATGCAATCAACCGTCTTCATCAGGTTGTTCAAGGGAGAGAGTTAGTCGTCTCCAAATCAACCTCGTCCGAGATGTTATTCATCTCGAGTTTTGTTGTTCAACCTTGTCATGCTTGTTCGTCACATTTCCTTTTTCAAGCTCGACATTCTTGTCACTCATGTCTTCGCTTGAGGGGGAGTATTGAGGATATTAATTATTTAGTAAAAAATAATTAATTCCTTGTCTTCCAAGTCCCTTGTTTCCTTGTCCTTGTCAAAAAAGAAAACTTGGTTGTCATTAGGGTTTTAACCCTACGTCCATCTCTATATAAGCTTAGCTATGAGATTGTCGTAAGCAAGCCGTCACAATATAATCCCATAATAAATTCGTTAGTCGTGAGCTCGTTTTAAACTCACCGTGGATTAGTCTCGATCAATCATCAATCATCGTTCCAAACTCACCGTGGATTAGTCTCGATCAATCATCAATCATCGTTCCAAACTCACCGTGGATACCACGTAAAATCCTATGTCTCGTGTTATCTCATCTTCCGCATCATCAAATTCTTCACAATACAAAGAGGAGAATATTTCCTTTTCGACGGAAACTAGACTGAAAAGCACACCTGCTGACGAAGATAAGATAAAAAATTGACCAGAGATAAATTAAGAAAATTGATGCTCGTGGACGTCCTAAAACCGCAAGGAGCCAGGCGAAGCAAGTTGGGGGGGGGAGGACGGAGGAAGGTTTTAAAAAGACAGAGGAGGTGGTGGCCCCACCATATCTGTACGGACACCAATCGGAAAATTGAAAGAGTGGGTCGGGGGAGAGAGAACCCCAAAAATGCCAAAAAAAGCGAAGGAGAAAAGTGGGAAAAATAAAAAAAACAGTCATTCTCCAACCAATCAAAAATCGACAACGAACTCGACGAAACCACCTGGTTTCACAAAACCGCTAATCGCACCTGAAAACCCACTCTCTCTCCCCCAAGATATATACGCAATACCCACGGTACGTTCCACACACCCAACCACCTGAGAGGCGAGGCAAAGCAAAGCAGCCATAGCGCTCAGAAATCTCTCTCAATTTCTTGCCTCCGCCAAACACAGCATAGAGAACTAAAAGAAGAAGGGGGAGGCCATTGGAGAAGCGGAAGGAAGGAATTAGCAGAGAGAGAGAGAGAGGCGGTTTGAGGTGGTCTGTCGATCGATCTACATACATCTGGTGAAGTGCTCGGCCTCTGATCTGGTGCGGTGGAGCTTGATCAATCCGGCTGGATCGGGAAGGCAGAGAGAGCAGAGAATGGGGAGAGGGAGAGTGCAGCTGCGGAGGATAGAGAACAAGATCAACAGGCAGGTGACGTTCTCGAAGCGGCGGTCCGGTCTGCTGAAGAAGGCTCATGAGATCTCTGTTCTGTGCGACGCGGAAGTGGCTCTCATCGTCTTCTCCACCAAGGGGAAGCTCTTCGAGTACTCTACGGATTCCTGGTAATTCACTCTCATTAATTGCACAATCCTTTCCCATCTTCTCGACTGACTCGATTTGCTCTACGGTTTTTATGTCAATTGCATCGGATGTTGGTTTCGGATGGATTGCCGTTAGCTAGTTAGGGTTTCTTACTGCTTCGTCGTCTATTTCAATCAATTTGGGGGTAAAATTAGAGAAGAGAAAAAACAAAACATAAGCAAGGGAGGAGAAAGGATACGAAAAACGAAATTGTGAATGTAAAATGGATTCCATCCTCCATGCAGATAAGAAAAGAGAAGAGAAGGAAAGGAAATAGTGTGTTGGTGAATGCGCGCGTGGGAGTGCGTGTGTGGGTGAAATAGGAAATGGGGAGGAGGAGTTGGGAGTGTACAACAACGTAGGATTCCCCCTTGAGGTAATTTTCTCTTCTACCAAAGTTAACCCCCCAGGCCCAGGCCAAGGCCATCTTAATAATAATAATAATAATAATAATAATAATAATAATAATAATAATACACATGTATACATACATACGTACCGGCAACACAGCTTTGTTTCTTGTTTTGCTGGTGACGTTGACTTGACGAAAATAACAAAACTTTTTTCTCCTCCGTTTACTTCTCAGAAACGCTGTTGTTGGTTTAGGCGTAGGGTAGAGAACCCAGGCCAGCTGAGCAGCAGTAGCATTAGTCTCCGAACTCGAGGCATAAACCAAAGTCCTTTTTTTTATTTAGTTACTAGTAGTTGAACGTTAGAATTACCTTTTCTCCAGAATGAAACTGAAACGTGTCATTCTTGACTTCTTTTTTTTCTTTCTCATTTTTCATAATTCTGCTGCAATAAGAGGTCTTTCTTCTGCGTTTTGCTTAACATCCCCTTTCTATATCTATCCATGATGGTCGCTGTTTTATCACTGGATGTCCAACTCCTTCCTTCCATATCGAATAGCAGCAACATTCTTTTCCATTACTTCCTACATCGATCATGTATAACCAAACCATAAGGTCGGAGAGTTGTTAAAAGTAACTAATTACATGTTCTTACGACCGTCAAAGTAAAACTCTATGTGCCTAGTAACGTAGACTATGATCAAATCAATTTCTTTTTGTCAGAGGAATACGATATGTTATTTTATACCTAAATAAATTGAATAGAGACATAATAATAATAACTTGGGTTTTATATTGAATGGCTTGGTGGTGTTTCTACTCTCTCTCCAAACCATGTCGCTTTTACATCTCCAGTCCCTTGAATAAATAAATATTTCATCCCAATTAATTACTGTCAGAATGGAGTCATGGATACTTAGTTAACTATATATTTATAGGAATGTCGAATGAACCATGTCTTGGATTACCACCACGTTCTATATACTCGATATTTACTGTTTAGCTTCTTTATCGGACTCTTTATTATTACTCATTTTGGACTTGGCGTTATTGGACTCTTTGTTATTACTCATTTTGGACTTGACGAGACTGATTTATATTAGTTGATTGGGACTAATTGATACACAAACTACGAACGTATTCAAATTGCTTTATACCATTATATAGGTTTAGCAAGTAGTATGGTTTGACCAATGTACATGTCGATTTACTCTTGTTTAAACAAAACATAGCCAACGGTAGACCATGAACACGAAAAGATTTTTGTATTTATGTAATCTTATCTTAGAACAATCTTTCTATAATCTCCAATCATATTTAAACAAAATATTACATTACAAACAAAATGAAAAATCATCATATTTAAATGCAACATTGAACATCAACATCCAAAAACTTATACTTGAATCCAATAGCTAACATCACCATTTAACTGTTCATTTTTGAATCCTACAAATTTATTTTCCTTTGTTAGTTAATTCCACCAAAACAACAAAATTTTGTTTAGGGGTTGAAAATTGACCGTTTCGGTCTTATCACTCTTTTCTTGGTTTCGACTGTTTTTTTTATCAATTTTGACTACCGCTACATATCGGTAATCTTCCCGCCAATTTAAGTCCAATACTGATTGAAACCGATTATACCGATCAACATAACGGTGGTTAGAAAACCATGCAAACTACAGATCTCAACCATGCATGACATGTAGTAAGAACATATTTTGATGGAAAAGTTACCATATAGATTCAAAATATATAAATGACAGCAGTTCATACATCTATTTGTTAAAGTTTATAGGATAAGATGTGGGCATCGGGGGCGATCGAACCTCGCCGAACCATCCCGCAATTGCTATCTGCTGCTGTTCTAACCCCAAACCACAAGATAATATATAAAGGATAGATGGCATCAAGTGCAAAAATATGTAAAAGATAGATATATACGCCTTGGGTGGGGAGTAGAAGGAAGATCTCTTGCTGCAACCATAAATGTCTCCGCCATTGCTGCTTCAGTACAAGGTCTGGAGCGGGAGATCTCTTGGGTTGGCGGAACTGAGACTTCACGCACCTCATTTTGAGTGCATATTCTGGGGGGGCATGAAATTGCATTGCAGGGTATAATAGGGGTGTCGTTTTGCTCACACCATTATCTAATTCCTGCATTTGGTTTTCATGATTAACTTTATCTTGACCTTCTTTCGTACTTTGAAATTCACTACGATCCCAACCTCGTTTTATTAATACATGATCCTAGACGTCCTTGACGTCTGTCTTTCTACAAAAAAAAAAAATTCACTACGATTTACGAAACAGCTTAATACTTGTACACTCATTCAGACACCTACACATTGTGGGCCGACTCTATTTGTCCGAGTATTGAAGCTATAGCTTACTCGGGTCGGGTTGGTTTTTGTTAGGATTATTTGTATTGAGCATGAGGGCAGAAAGCCGAGCCATAAATTCGAACGAAAAGTTAAAAACATTTAAGTCTATAGGATTTAAATCCCGGTAATTGGGTATGAGGTTGAAGCCTTATCTAGTACTATACTATTCAAATTTGTTAAAATTTTACATATATTTCATTAATATATTTGAAAATTTTACTTTTAGCGTGACTCCACCACCAGTAGAAAGTGAATTTGAAGGATTTATCACCAATTAAATCATATGCATCGTTCAATTTAAATTGTGATACACGATGCGATTCAAACTACATCAAACTGCCTACTTAAGTAGGTTGGTTTTTTGACCATATCAATTAAATTGCGTTCTTATTTAAAACACAGTTCAATTGTCACGCAATGCATTGTGGTTTGTGTCATATATGATGTGGTGCAGTCCATTTGCAAATTACTACCAATTAACTCACTTAACAATGACAAGTGAACCAATGCTAGAATCTTAGTATAATGGTTTCCAATGTATAGTATTCCTCAAGCTCTAAGCTAAATTAATACTAAAATTTCAGATTACTATCTATCCAAATCGAGTTTTTGTGTTTCAGTGACTTCTAACAACTATACTACTCAAACTAACAATGAAACTATTAACTAAGATTCATGGATGAAATTGGTTAGACTCTCAAGTCAAAAGGCTTACCTGGGCATTGATTTTCTGTAGCTATGAATCAAATGACAATCATAGTGACCCTAGATTTTTCAACTCAACTCCTCTAATGCGGGATTAAAATTAAGAGAAACTCGATAAAACATAGATTAGATGTAGAAATAGAGCAATGCCAAGTCTAGGCTCACAAACAACAATTATTCAACTACATCTAGCTAGGCTTCCTCAAACGCAAGTGAAAAGAAAATGTTAGCACATAGGGAAAGAGAACTCGAATAAAGGAGGGATGAACATGACTTGCTTGAATCTTCTTCCCTCCTTCAATCACCACTCCTTTGCTTGATTCTTGAACTTTCAAGAGATGAATGTGGTGTGAAACTCCTCTCAAGAACTCGATATGATCACTCTGCCTAGGGTTGATCAATGTTGTGTTTCTCACTCTACAAGTGTGTCTTCCTTGTATAAAAAAACTTTCTGGTACTAAAACACACAAATATACAAAAACATGCATTCATCTTCAGAAACACGTTCATGTTTTTATTATTATTATCAAACCGTGTTTCTGGAAACAACAATGTCGCACTAACCTTTGAGCTTCATAAACCTGGTCGTGTGTCTTGTCTACCTATCTGTCCACATTCCGTTTCTTCTCTAAAACTTTTCAAAACGTCCCTCGATTAGCTCCTATTGAGTAAAGTCTTGTAACATAGAACAAGCAACCTAGTGGGAAAAAATTAAAAAATCATGGAGTTCTCAAGATAGGACCTAGACAAACACTTACTAATTGGGAATCAAAACATATATAACTAGGTCTATTACCCACCTCTAGTACGATGTATTATTTTAGAAAAATGTAGCACGGAACTTAAAACAGCATGGACTCATCTAAAACCCAAACTAATCCACCTCTGGTTCTTCTTTTGGCTCACCATTACGCGCCCGCCAAATTTCAGTTTCGGTTAGTAGAGATGAATGAAGTTCTTTCATGTTAACATGCATGCTTAGCATCTCATCAAATTTATTTCAGATCACACTTAAATACTAGTTAAATACAGGAAAGTAATAGAAATTCAAGCGTCTCCTTTTACCACCCAGGTTAAAAGGTTTAACTATCCCTTTCCCAACAATTCAAGTTATTGGGACCAAATCACCAACAAGCCGAATGAAGTGTGAAGTTCACTGATGACAGCAGGTTAACTCACTAATTCAAGGCAGATTCCAGATCGAGATTTATAAAAACACAATAACTTAAGCGAGCTAAACAGTATGCATGGAGTGAGATATTAGTCTATGTATCCCTTAGTTAAACATATGCTGTCCCTGCCATCTATATTACACATTTAAGTCAGCACACATATATTTTGTTAAATTTTGGTTGTGTGATTGACAGCATGGAGAGGATCCTAGAACGTTACGAGAGATACTCCTATGCTGAGAGGCAGCTTCTTGCCAATGACACTGAAACATGCGTGAGTACTACACCCAAGTTGGTATTGGAATATTATACATTGCTGGTTTGTTGCCCAGGACATCAAGGAACCAAGTGTGTATAGTAAATTTCCGTTCTGTGCTGTGTTTATCATTTCATTTTGTTGTGCCTGACATGCACACACCCGGTCGTCAATTTCCAGGGTAGCTGGACTCTAGAATATGCAAAGCTCAAGGCTAGGATTGAAGTCTTGCAAAAGAATCTAAGGTAACTAATTAACTAAGGCAATTGCTTGTTGCAAAAATGTATATACTTGATGGTCTAATGGAACATTTATTTATAACTATATATATATATCTTCTCTTTCTGCGCTTTTGATTTGCAGGCACTACAATGGACAAGACCTGGACTCGCTAAGCCTTAGGGAACTTCAAAACCTGGAGCAACAACTTGATTCTGCTCTTAAGCACATTCGGTCAAGAAAGGTAAGCATGGTTCAATGGTGATATGACTATTGACGCAAATGAGTTGAAGTAAATCACCATCTCGTTGCAATGCTTGCAGAACCAGCTGATGTATGAATCCATCTCAGATCTTCAGAAAAAGGTAAAAGCACGCGCCTAACTAGCTAGTTTTCAGTTAAGAGTATAATATATGGTCAAGTTAATTATTCGGATTATGGGGCTCAAGTAGTTAAATTATTATTGTTAAGCCATATACATGTAGAGTAATTAGGAGGTCACATCTATCATCTACTTTTTAACAGGACAAGGCCCTCCAGGAGCAGAACAACCAACTGGCAAAGAAGGTGCTTCCCAATGGATCTCGATCCAGCTTTACTCCACCATTTTTTTGCATCCCTTCATGTTTTGTTGATTTGTCCTACTTGTTTTCCTGTCCTTCGAACCCATATACGTACGCATAGGTGAAGGAAAGGGAGAAGGAAATATGTGAGCAAGGAGAGTGGGAGCAGCAAGACCCATCTTCTCTAGTTCCTCAACAGACCACCCATGGCACCCTCGATTTACCTTCTACTACTACAAACAATAACGTTGCCTCGCAGCCATTACAGCATCCTCTTGACATAATAAGGTATGCCCTCTTTCTCTCTCTCTCTCTCTCTCTCTCTCTCGAAAGAGCCAAGCCCAATCCAACAGTGTGAACATGCAGTGGCGGAAGCGGCAGCGGAGGCGTTTATCCTGCGAGAGGTAGTGGAGGAGCGGAAGAAGGAACTACGTCATCCGGTAGTCGAGCCAATGCGCTCCTGCCACCGTGGATGATGGGCCACCACATATAATAATATGCCTGGAGAAGGCGCAGGGAACAACTACTATTATTATAGGCTGTAGCCCTTTCAAACTTATTTATTAAAATTTTGATTTTATGTTCTTATATATATATATGCATGCTTTAATTCGAGGTATATGTAAGCTTTGATCGCGAGCGGACGTCGCCGATGTGTGTGAATGTATTTTATTTGTAGTATTGTATATACGCCGAGTCATCATCCAAGTGCCTATATCTATAAACTGGATGTAAATTGAAATTGGAGATGATGTACCAGAATCGCTTTCCTCCATGCATGCTAGATTATTATTATTTTCCAGCATGCGATTTATTTTCCAGACCTTGGTTACTGTTGTATCATTATTATTATTTTTAGGGGAAAAGAGCATTCTATGTCTGACGATTAAAATATTTCGTTGAATGGTTTTAGTTTCTTAGAGATTTTAATTTTTTTTTGTTTTCTAGTTAAATATGGTTTGTAAAACTCATACTAGATATTATGCCAAACAAATTTATGGTTAAATAAATATTGGTAAAGTATCGTCTTTTATAATAACTTTTTTTAAAAGATACCACGCCAAAAAGTATGCTACCATATCAAAATAATCCAAGATATTACTTAGTAATAGCATTTTGCTTGACATTAAGATTTTTTTCTCGTGACTCATAGTTGAGAAGAACATTGTTGGTTAATTGATTGGCTTCCATCATCGTTGGAATGGTCTTGGCTTTGGTCTCCCGCCCTTCTCTCGAAGTTTAGATTCTTCCTTTGGAGATGCTCTAAGCTAGCTATTGCTACTAGGAAAAGACTCCATACAAGACAATGCACCCCCAACCCTATATGTCCAATCTATGATGCTCCGGTTGAATCTATTATGCACGGCCTCTTCTTCTGTCGGCATGCATCTGAAACGTGGAACCTTTCAAGTCTGCTCCCTAATTTCTCAGCGCAGGGCTCGTCCTTTGCGCATTGGTTTTTTGGACTGAAGGAAGACTATAGTGACACTCGCATTCGTCAGATTGTCTGCTGTCTCTTGAATATTTGGATTTCTAGGAACTCCTTTGTCTTTGATAACAAGGCTCCTTCCCCGTCCTCCACGATAATTGTTGCAGGTCGTGACTTCCTGGAAATTTATGAAGCTCGATTCACTGGAGCTTCACTTGCTCCCCGCCGACCTACTCTTTTATCTTCTCAACCGAGGGGTTCCCATCACAACATTGAACCACCGCCTACTTTCCGAGTGATGGCAAGGCTGAGTCTTTCTTTTGTTCTCATCTGATTCAAGCTGAGGCTTTTGGGCTCCTCAATGCTATCTTGCTTGCAACGTAAGATCTGGTCCCTACTTGCATTCGTTCAGATTGTCAAGTGCTGAATCTTGCATTGCATAAGGATCCGGCCTCTCGGCCTTGGCTTTTTCAAGCTTCCCTTGCGCGTATGGCTTCCATCTTAATCTCTTCGCCTTGGATTCACATCGAGTTCGTCCCAAGGTGGCTGAACATGTTGGCGGATTGGGTTGCTTGTCAAGCTAGATCGGAATCATTACCTATGGATTGGATTACAGTTTCTAATATTATTGCTCCACTGTTGTAATGAACTCTTTTCTTTGCTTGCTCTAATGGAATGAAAGTTACCACTGTTAAAAAAAAAGGCTAAAAACGTCGCGAATTTGATACTGTTCTATGTCCCCAATGTAGTCAAAATCCCGATTTTAATCTTAAAATCTTACGATTTTACGATCTTAACTATGGGTTCCGATCCTGATTTTACTGTAAAATCTTTGAACCTTAAAATCCCATAAAATCTGGATTTAAAACTCTAAAATCCATAAAATCTACGATTTCTACGATTTTGTACGATTTCAAGGTTCATATCAATTAGATCAAAATTAGGCCGGTCAAGTTGGGTTATGCCCATGAACCGAGTCAAATTTACTTTCCCCAACCCAACATAATGAACAACACAACCCCAACCTGATAGTTAACCCTCAATTTATTTTCATTCTCTTTCTCGTATCTTCCTCTTTCGCACATCGGCGCCCAACTCCTTCCATCAATGATATCTTCCACCCTCCTAATTAGCTTGTAGTTTGTTCCCACCACCCTCACAATAATCCAAATCTCCATTACATTGCAAGCTTTTGTTCATCTCCCAATCCTTCAACACCACTAACCCGACCTTTTATCAATTAAGAAGGGAATGCATCAATCAATGAGTTATCTTTTCCAGATGATGGTAATCAAGAAAATATGGTTAATGGTGAAAGTACTTCAACTTCAAGTGATCATAAGAGTAATGATATTAGTCCTTAAACAAATAAAAATGATGAGAGTGAGGGTGAGGTTGAGGATGATGTGTAAGTGATGTTAATGTTGATCCTAACGATCTTATGTGATTTTCTACTCTTAACAATTAATTAACAGTGATATCTATAATGTTTCAGGTTTCTTATTTGTGTGTTTCTATTATGTACACGAAAAATATATGGATTAGTTGTGTTTGTTTAGCAAACAAACTTATCTTGGGAAGTAATTATGCTTTATGTGGTTGATTGTTATTCGAGATATGCATTTTTATTACTATCTAGTGTTTTAAGTATTTATTTTAATACGAACCTTAAAATCTTACGATTTTACGATTTTAATCTACGATTTCGATTCTACCTCAGTTTTCGATTGTACTTAAAATCTAGATTTTGACTGCATTGTATGTCCCCAGTATTTCCAAATTCACGGTTAGTGGGTGAGATTAATTTTGGTTCAAGGTTTTAGCATTAGTCTATGTTCTTGACCTGTAGTGGTGATGAGGTGACAAGGTTTCTTGCTTTGCCTTTTTCTCTCAATCATTTTGTCTTTAGGATGGAACTAAAGAGAGGAGTGCCTGCAACATATCATAGAGACACATGATTTGTAGCTAAACTTCTATTTGACGTTATAAATATTCAAGTTTATCGCTCTAAACTCTACTAAAGATATTCTTTTACTCCTTTCCCCTAACTTAACTCAAAATCCACCCTTTCCCGTCAAACTACCCTCCACTTCCCCTTGACTCAATAACCGCCGCCCACCTCTGTAAATCATCGTCCTCAATCACCCACCCCATCCCCGACCTATTAACTTATAGGTACCTAATTATAATTGTACATATATGTCTTAGTCATTAACTTTCATTAGGGTTTGATTGAGGACCTATATATATATATGTTGTGACCGTGGCTGTAAAGTATTACGTTGAATAAGATTGGCTTTAGAGGGTTTAGGATCTCCCGTGGACGTATAGTCCTGGAAATCAGTTGGGATACCACATTAAAAGATTGTGTTCTTGTTCTTCGTATATAGTTTGACATTGTATCAGAGCGACGGGTTTTTTGTTGAACCCTATTGTTCGTAGTTTCTTAGCAGATGGTAGATCTCATTTTTCGGTAGTGGTGTGCCTATGGATCCAACAAAGATGGATATGGTTGCAGTCAAGATTGATGGGAATAACTTCCCTCTATGGGAATTTCAGTTCCGGAATTTTGTAAAAGGCAAGCGGCTTTCATCTGTTTTGGCAGGTGAATCAAAGCGTCCTAGCGTGGATGCTATGAAGAAGCAGAAGGAGGATTGGGCATCGTCTAATGCCCAGGTTGTGACGTGGTTGTTGGCCTCCGTTGATGTTCAAACGATGTTGAGCCTGCGCCATTTTGGAACAGCTCACGACATGTGGCGGCATATCTGTGATACGCATTCTCAGGCAAATACGTCACGCATTTATGAACTTGAGACTTCTATCTCGAGCGTTTCTCAAGGACAACGCAGTCAAAATTGGGATTTTGATCGTAAAATCGTAGCATTTTAGAATTTTACTTAGAGGTTCTGATACGATTTTACTATAAAATTGATGGACCTAAAAATTAGGATTAAAATTGTTAAAATCTTAAAATCGTACCAAAATTAGGATTTTGATCTTATGAGAACTTAATAGGAAGTTTGAGCCAATTAAAAAAACAGAGCTGTTTCGGAGGAAAGGGCATTGACGAGGATCTTCTCGTATATTTTTCCTATTAAAAAAATATTTGAAAACAAAAATAATCAAATTAAGACTCGATCAATCCCTTTCCTTTCGCCCTGTTTAACTAATTAGTGAAACATATGTCCTAACATTGTAAGTACGTAAGAATTAACACCAGTATAATTAATTAATTAATATATTTGTACCAAACTATTGGTATTAGTTAGTTTATTGGAGTTCACTTATTCTTAGTTTTAAATTATGCGTAATAGACGATGTTGGAATATGACTTTGAGTTGAACTATCTTGACAACATGAAAAACAAGAGTCAAATCACATGAGCTATATCCCTTCCTCAAGAATTATTTTGAGTTAAGCATTGAATAACAATCAAAATGATGATTTTGGAACATTAATCTTGAATATTATAATTTTAAATGTTAGGTATCTTTATGTTATTAATGATTTACTCTATTAACATTATTATATGTTAGTTTCTATATGGTAATTAAAATGCCTATGATTTTACGATTCCGATTTTACCCCGGATTTTATTTTAGGTAAAAGCTCGATTAAAAAATGTGCATGCATCAGTGGACTGAGTACGATCTCATAAAAGCTTCACTTTTGACGAGTGATGCTTTTGTTGAAGTTCCGAAAGAACGTACCTGATCTCATGTTATGCATTTCTTAATGAGGTTACATTGTGAGTTTGACCAATCCACACGTCTTTAATTCGTCATGAGGTTACTAAGCTGGATGTTGTTTTGCCTGAGTTGCTTCGTGAAGAAACAAGGATCAAGAGTCAAGCTTAACTTGATAGTCACGCTTCCGAGTCTGTTTTTGCTGCTGGAAGGTCTGGTAATTATTATTCTCGTCCACAATTTGGTCGTTCAAGTAATTTTGAAGTGGTGTGTCATTATTGTCAAGAGTCAGGTCATATTCAAATTCATTGAAAGTAATGTAATCACTACAATTATTGCAAGAAGACTGGTCATATTGTGCTCGAATGTCCGACCTTCAACAATGAGGGAAGATTCATTATCCCAATTATGGGTCTTCCTCTAGTGGGGCTTCACATGCTGGTTCTTCGTCGCGGCTATGTGCTGCCTATTCATTCGCTCTTGGTTCTTCCTCGGTTGCATCCTTGGGTAATAGTAGCGGCACACCGTCCTTCTCTCCTGATCTTGTGAAAAACTTGTGCACGAGACTTTACAAGAGGCCCTTCCTCATTCTTTGAGTTCCTCATTCTCTCCTAATCACATAACGTTTGCTCAGAACAAGTTTGTCAAATTGCATCATGTTTCTCCCTTGTATTTACTTGTGGACAATGGAGATCTCCTCTCGAAAGTAGGTCAGAGTACCTCGTCGGCCAGTCCTATTAAGCTTCTGAATACTCTTTATATCCCTCGCTTACTCCCTAATCTGGTCTCTATTGGAAAATTAACAAAGGGTGCTTGTGATGTTATGTTTAACTCTCATGGTTGTGTCATTCAAGACAAGACGAAGGGGAAGGTGATCGGTAAGGGAATTAAGCTAGGTTGTGTGTTTGTTCTCAATGAACTGAAGCAGTGTGTTGGAGCGAGTACGCGGAGAGAGGAGGCTAGAAACTTGCTTCATCAGTCGAGCCTTGGTGCTAATTTGGTTCGCCGAGATAGTAGTGGTACGGAGGATTTTAATTCTTTATCGTTGGATTATTCGGTTAATTCAGCTGGTTTAAATTTTTTGAAGAATCCTTAAGTTTAGGATTTATGGCATTGCCGTTGAGGCCATCCGAATTCTTCAAGATTGTTACAGTCAAAAAATGTTACCCAGTAACATTACATCTTACATTGCTTCAAATTCTTGTTGTGTGAGTTGTATTGAAGCTAAAGCATCCCAACATTCTTTTTCGTCGAGTGATACAGAGTATCAAGATCCTTTTGACATCGTGCATAGACTTTTCGGGGCCCTCGCCACTTATGTCAAACATGGGGTTCAAATATATTGCTTTGTTTATCGATCACAAGACACGATACTATTGGGTGTCATTCTTTGGCAAAAGTCGGATTTGTGCAACTTAGCTAATGAGTTTGTTCAACTCATCAAGACTAAATTCGAAAAGACTATTAAGATTATCAGGTCAGATGAGGGCGGCGAGTTTACCAAGCATGAGTTACTAAATTTTTACAAATCGGAATGTATTCTCTTGTCCCTGGGTATCTCAGCAGAATGGTCTTGTCGAAAGGAAATACCGACATGTCCTGGAGTGACTATAACACTTCTTTATCACTCTCGTGTGCCTAGAGGGTTTTGGGTTGAGGCGGTTCATATTGTTCTACATTTTATTAATCATCAAATCACACCAATTCTGAACCACAAATCTCTTTATCATATTTTGTTTTAAAAACTACGAATTACTCTTTGTTGCGTATTTTTGGTTGTACGTGTTTTGTCCTCCTTCCATGAAAGGAACGACATAAATTGGCTCCCAAGACACTGAAATATGTGTTCGTCGGCTATAGCGACAAACATAAGGGTTATTGATGCTATGACCCGATCGGAAAGCGTATGCGCATTGCCTACCATGTCCTTTTCCTCGAGCAAATTCAGTAGAGTCACTTGCTTTTCTTACCACGCTACCCATCTTTGAAAGTATTACATCCATGGAGATAGATGAATGAGAAGTAATTTGATTTCACCATCCACAACTACTTCATCTTCTAGCGTCTCCTTGGCTAGCTCCAGCTTGTCTTCCTCCCCAAGGAGCTCCAACTCATCTTCTTCCTTTTTGTTTGGTAACTCTGGGGCATCACAAAATAATTCCACAACTTCGTCTGGTTACGACACCTTTTTCCATGAGGAAGAGGACGAGGTTGTTCAATAAGCTGAACCTCCAGTGCTACGTCGATCAGCGGGGAGAAACTTGGGCAGCCCCCACCAAGGCATCATGATTACGTGGGATATGCTATTGGTCCAATTTTGTGCCTGCAAATTACTCACAGGTTGTGGGACATCCATAGTGGGAATGAGCCATGCAAGAAGAAACACATTCTCTAGAACTAAATCATACGCGGGATCTCATCCCATGACATTCTGAGATGTTAGTTATTAGCAATCGTTGGGTATATAATCTGAAGATGTGTCCTGGAGGAATGGTAGAAATGCACAAAGCACAGTTGGTTGCTCGGGGGGTTTTACAGAGTATGGCAAAGACTACATGGAGATGTTTGCGCCAGTTGTCAGAATGAAGACTGTAAGATGTGTGCTTGTAGTAGCAACTATGTGTGGTTGGACTCTGACTCAGTTGAACGTGAAAAATTCCTTTCTGCATGTAGACTTGAAGGAGAAAGTATACATGCAAGTATGCAACGACCACCAGGGTACACGAAGGGGTCATCAGACATGGTGTGTAAGTTGGTGCGTTCTCTATATGGTCTCAAACAAGCTCCGCGAGCTTGGTTTGAGAAGTTTCATAGTATGATTGTCCAGTTGGGGTTCGACCAAAGTCATAATAATCTGTCACTCTTTGTACGGAATACAATTGATGGGGTTGTTGTCTTGCTTATTTATGTCGATGATATGATCGTTAGAGGAAGTGATTCGCGAGGGATTCAGGAATTAATGGCATCTCTTCATCAGGCTTTTAACTTGAAAGATCTCTATGATGTTTCATACTTTCTAGGCTTGGAAGTTCAATGATCATAATGGCATTTTAGTTTCGCAGAAGAAGTACATTAGTGACCTCCTGTGACGGCTCGTTGCATGGATTGCAAACCCGCACCAACTTCCATGGAACATAATATTAAGCTTAGTAAAGACATTGGCGACATGTTGGAATACCAATCTCTCTATCGCAGCTTGGTGGGAAGGCTTATCTATTTTAACCACATGTATCAAGATATAGCATACTCTGCACAGGTGGTGAATCAGTTCATGGGAGTAGCTCGTGCACAACACTTGGATGCAGTATACAGGATTCTGAGATACTTGAAGCCCACTCAGGATTTTGGATTGTTTTTCTCAACGATAAGAGATCTGAGTATAGAGGCATTCGTAAATCCTGACTATGCCGGGTGTCTAGACACAAGACGGTCAACATCACACTTGTGTGTGAAGATTGGACAGTCATTTGTATCATGGCGCTGTAAGAAGTAGGATAGAGTGTCAAAGTCCTCAATAGAAGCTGAGTATCATTCGATGTCACAACGGTTGCTAGAAGAACTAGGTATTAAGTGAAAATCTACCATGAAGTTGTATGATGACAATACCAATGCATTATAGATTGTGCTTAATCTAGTTCTCCATGATCCAACAAAGCATATAAAGGTCACGTTCATTAGATTTTAAAGGTGGTGACAAAAAGGAGAATACTATTGCATTATCTGTCAGTCGAAGATCAAACCGCTGACATTTTGACTAAGGCATTGCCATCAAGCAGGCATTGGTAACTATCATCCAAATTGATCTTGGATGCCCAACATCAATTTGAGATAGGGTGTTAAAGTATAGGTACCTAATTGTATTTGTACATATGTGCCTTAATCATTAACTGTTATTAGGGTTTGATTGAGGACCTCTATATATATGTTGTAACCGTGTCTGTGGAGTATTACAATGAATAAGTTTGGCTTTGGAGGGTTTAGACTCTCTCGTGGACTAGTCCTGGAAATCAGAGATACCACGTTAAGAGATTGTGTTCTTGTTTTCATTTATAGTTTGACACCCCCACCGGCCACCTTCTAGTCGAAACAATTTTTGAATCAGCAACCAATCCACCACCAACTTCAAGTGATAACAACTAAATTAGTGTTATTTAAACTCCATATTCTAGATGTTTTCATGTCATTCTTAGGTATTCATGGTTAACACCCAAAATTTGCTTAAGTTTATGAATGAAATGTGTTTGCCTAGTATTTTTATAAATCTGTCTATGATTATTGTGCTC